TACCTGGCACACTCAAGGATCATCGACCTCTCATGAAAAGATATATTTACAATGCACTGGCGATTTTGTCTTTATCCAGGTGTTCAGAATTCACAGAAACCATCTCCAATGTGGCAGTTGACTCACAAGTGCATTCTTGTCTTCACACATTGGAGAAAACAGATGATAAAAACTCAGAGTAAATTACATTGAAGTCAAGAGGAAGCATGACTTTAGTGAAACCCAAGGCTCTACGCTTAGAAAATGAAGGGTTTTAAATATTTGACTAGTATTCTCATTTTAAGATGAGTTTGTTGGTATTTGAAAAAGATTCCACACTGCCATTGTGTTGTATTTTAATATAACTTTAATGTTGTTCAATAAGAAGACAAAATGTTCAGATGTGACACTGGAATTATCTCAACCTTTGTTGGCTTGATTTTTCCATTTTCTTGCCACATCTCACATAAAGTCTATTCCAACTGACTTTGATTTTTATAACCTTCATTACTCAAGGGATGTGAATGTGGGATGATTCCTGAAAGTATTGTGTCAGTAAGAATACACCCATGTTTTGCCATGTTTCCAAGTATTAAGACACTAAGGGCCAAATAGCTGAATGTTATCCAAGGTCAATAACTCTCAATGATAATTCCCTCGCTAAATATGTATTTTGGCCAGTGGAGAGCAATTCTCTCCTCATGTGTTGGCAAGCTGTAGCTGCTATCTGAAACTCCGAAGCCCTCTGTGCCGTCTGTTTTCCAAGTATACGGTCTTGAAATCACATAAAAAGACAACAGTTAAACAAGAGAAAGGTGATGGTTAAAACAGTGTTTATTATAGAACTCTTGGTTTCTGGATGTACAACTTTAAATTTCAGTCAGCTGGTTTACTTGATTGTATCTTAATCTTTCAAAATGATCTGCCCCTTTTTCAACATACGGTAGACTTCTCTTTCAAAGGCGTAAAAGCTAGTGTAAAAAAGAAAGTGCAGTGTTGACAGGATCCCGTATGGTTGTGAAGTGCTGCTGCTCCGTATCGGACAGGGTTTGCATCCATTAAGGCCTGAAAAGGAGAAGACCACTGAAGTCAGTCATTTAACCTCATTTTGATTGGGAAATCAATAACCACAATCCAGCAGCAGCTGCATACTGTATTATCATGTCAGTCAGCACTGGCTTACACCTGCCTGGAGGTAAAACACCATCAAAGCCTCCATGTTGTTGTGATGGAAAGGTTATTTAATCAAATTACATCATCTATGTTATTGTCTTTCAGCAGCCTTTAATTTACACTATCTTCAAACACTAATACTTATTATCAGTACAATCAGTCTGTGTTGAACAAAATTTATCTTTTGAGTTCAGATTTTCCTTTTTAGCACTTGAGTGGCTTTCTTTCACGAGCATAATTGCAGTTGACCAGATAATGTTTAATGTCCTATGCAGATATGGAGGAGTGAGAGTACAGAGTAATTAGAAGGGACAAATTGCAGGTCATTATGTGTGTTAGTAGTAGCAATATATTGTATTTATTTCCAGTGCCCTCCAAAAAGGTGGGAATATTTTAGGTGCAGACATGTTTCACCATCTCAAAGAAAAGAAAAGATAATTGGTTGAGTAATACAAGAACAGGGCAGTTTAACATCAACTGTAACTCTCCAGTTAACTAGTGGGCAAGCAAACCTTAACATTTAGCATTTAGAACCAGAGGACATGTATAAGGCTAGTAGTACGAGAGTATGGATGTATATTTAAAGAAAACAACAAAATGAAGACTTAATTAATTAATAATTTGAATTGGTATTTAAATTGCCCTTTTTCTTCAGCTCAGTCTCAACTCCAACTAACTAAAATTTTAAATCAAGTTAAACAGTCATGAAATGCTAATCTTCCGACTCTTGCTAAGATCCCATTGTTTGTGTCTTGTTTCATGTTTTTGCATTTGTCAGAACGTTTCTTTGATTTTTGTTTTTCTTGATTGAATACAGTGCAGCTCTGCTTCACTGTAAACATGTCTGCTACATGTGATCTGATTCATCACGCCATATGGTTTAGTAATATCACAGAGGGGAATTGTTTTATTAGAATGAGATAAGGCCATGTAGGGGTGTGACTGCTATCGCAAATAAAAAGAAATGTCAGCCAGCCAGAATATCCAAGCAGCAGAAAAGCCCCTGAATGCTTTATTGGAAACCATGACACGTAAAATGTCTGCGGCGTGTTTGTTTACAAAGGAGGATGGTGGAATATTTGACATTTGTGCATGGAGAGTTGTGTTATGAGCTTCCCCACAGTTATGCTTGTGCAGTCAGGAACATGGGATCCTATTAGCAAGGCTTCAGTGAGACTCCCCAGCTAATTCAGCTTTTTCTCTCCTCTGATTTTCTCTTTGTTAGATGAGTTAATGCTCCAGAGATCAGGTGCTCTCATGGAAGAAAGGCGTGTGGGGCAGATGACGGAGAATCAATAGTTTATGTGAATGTTAAATATAAATTGATGAATGTCGATGCCTCAGAAGTAACTTACAATGCAAAAGAAGGCACTAAAGTTAAAAGTAAGAACTCAGCATGTGGTGTTTCATTTAACTTGTTTTGTTATTTGGTCAAAACCGTAAAAAAGAAGAAATGTAAATAACATGCAGTCATCATGTTATGACTGATGCAGTCATCCCTCACCCACATTACTGTTCTCCAGGAAGTGTGAATTTTGTAATGGATGGAGTGTTAAGTTCAGAGGACTCTTCATTGCCGAGTCTTCACAGTTTACTTATTTGCAGTTGCCACATTTAGATGCAAGCGAGATGGCTAATGCTAGTTCCCTGAACCTTTGTATAATGTTGACACACCACAATGGCACAATCCCACACAGTTGTTATCACATACTAGCAACATCTGTTCTTCTTGACGTGACTAACATAACAACTATATCACATTTGCCACGTTAAATGAAAAAAACATGTTTTTAAAAGGATTTTATCTTCTGTTGAATCGTCTAAAATTAAGCACAGTAACTACAAAATAATTTTGTTTTTTTATTTATCTTTGAATAAGCTTAACAAACATTTATTACATTTAATTTATTTAAGGTGTGTGTGCTGAATGAATGGCAAACACAGTAATATCAACAGAGCAGATCTGGTCTCATGTTAAAGTTTCGTGCCTGACGTTTTGCGCTCTGTTCACATAATTCAATGTGAATGAAGCTTCTTTCAATATACTGTAACACAATATTTAATCATGGGCTCATAGGCCAGCTGCCTCGCTGGACAAACAAATAGTTTCAGTGAGAATCGAATGCAGAATGATGGTGGGCGCTCAGGATGATAATGTATACTAGTGTCTGTGTCTAAAACTTATGAATATTTTGTTACAATATGCAATCAGAACCTTTACATTAATCATTCATAGTCCTTTTGGCCCATTATTTTCTGCTGTTAAATTATTAATGCTTTTGGACTAACTTTCTTCACATAATAAAGTACCCATTGTTGGCTGCTATGAATTGCTCTTTATAGACAGAACCATTAAGTGCCGTTAGATTTAAGATATACAACAGTATGTTGTTCTCTTCCTCTTGTGCTTTTGAAGCCTTTTGTCCAGTTCACATTGTAGGAAAAGACATGAGATACAGTAAATGTCTGCATAATGACCAAGACTGCGTTTCCTTTCTGCCCCTCCCTCCTCTCCCCAAACCACCCATCCATCTAGAGTTTTTCCTGGAGCTTCTGGACAATTCGGAGAAGTCTCTCAACAGTATGTTCACGCGCACGTATGGGAAGCTGTACATGCAGAACTCAGAGGTGTTCCAGGATCTGTTCACTGAGCTGAAGCGCTACTACACGGGAGGTAACGTCAACCTGGAGGAGATGCTGAACGACTTCTGGGCCCGACTGCTGGAGCGCATGTTCCAGTTGCTCAACTCCCAGTACCACTTCACAGACGACTACCTGGAGTGCGTCAGTAAATACACTGATCAGCTAAAGCCCTTCGGGGATGTGCCCAGGAAACTCAAGGCCCAGGTCACCAGGGCCTTCATCGCTGCCCGGACGTTTGTGCAGGGCCTCATGGTCGGTCGGGAAGTCGCCAACAGAGTCGCCAAGGTGAGTTTCTTTTCACGTCAGCTTTAATGGTTGTTTAGTTGCTCAAATTTAAGTGAGTCTAAATAAAATAAAAGTAACATGCATCGAAAATATGATTTCAAATTATAACTGCCTGCAAATGAACATATCTCTTTCATAACTCTGGCTATATTTTATTAGTTTTTTCTACTTTGAATCTATTCTGTTTTCTGCTGCAGTGCTCAAAGTAAACACACAAAAGCTAGAGTTTGTTCACCTTCAACTTTTTGCCTCACTGTTCATACTTTAGTTTGTTCTGTATACTTAAAAACCTCTTCTGTGGATTGACCATCATCTTTTAGAATTACACTGCTTGAGAATTCCTTATTAAAAGCACTGAAATAAAGAACAAACATTTCTAATACGAGTAGAGATTTTCTTGAATGCTTAAACTTCTGGTGCGGGGGCCAGTGTTTCATTGTACATGTGGTGTACTCAGTTCACTGTGCGCTCTTCATTTCATTGGAATCACCCGCAGAGTCCAAAGCTTTGTGAAACAGGGAAGATGAAAGCATATTTCTCCTGAGATTTCTGATTTAATTTTATTTTAGTGTCCCTCTTTTACTAAACAGTTTTTCTTAATTTTAGACAAATGTTTCCATTCTCTCATCTTTATGTTGCCTTTTATTGTTGCTGCTGTTGTTGCTAATGGTTTTTGTATTGAGAGATTGGTTGATTAGTTTCTGAAAAATAAATATGTTTTTGAGAGCATTATCAAACACGGGAGATTAAAATGTTTTTAAAGGCTTAGTGGATATGTTTTCTAAATCTATGTTAAGCACAGAAAGTTATGCAAGAGCCCTCACGGATGTGTAAACTGTAAAACGTTATATAACTGTTTACTGTTTGTGGCACGCTGCAAAGCTTTGCTTTAGGTTTGCTTAAAGGTTTTTTTTTATTAATTTTCATTTAAAGGTCCAGTGTGTAAGAATTAGGTGAAAGGGATCAACTGGCAGAAATTGAATGCAGAATTACCCTCATGAAGTTTTCAGTAGATTGTTTCATCTAAATGTGAGGTGAGGGGTGTTCACTCGATATCACTAAATTCTGCACACTGTAACTTTAATATTAATATGATCTTTTATAACTATAGTTTATATCCTAACCTATAAAAACATTTATGAACAGATAATACACGAGCATTGCTGGAACAAAATACTCTCTGCACACTAACCCTATTTTTAAAAATAGTCTTCGCTCATTATGGTTTTGTTCTAAAAATAGAAATTGTAATTAGCTATTTTTGATACTTGTTCATCTTCAAGTTTTATTCAATTAATGAAAAACCATTATGACGGTTTCCATCTTGCAAGTTGTTGACCCTACCAAAATCAATATTCTTCACCCTCTATGAGATACAAATGATATAAAACTGATTATTCACAAGTTTAAAAATGTCTTCAGAGTTCTGCAGTGATGTGATTCTTTTCATCTAATTTTTTAGCTTGAAACTCTTTGTCCCTTTTAGTTTAATAGGGGAGAAGAAAGTAGGAGAAAGAGCGAGGGAGCAAAAAGTAAATGAGATGTGCTCAGTATGAGAAATAACTTTAATCATTCTTATGTTGGAGCCTTAACTGACTCCCTGTGATAAGCAGTGGCCTCACTCAGACAGATCACAGAGATTCTACACTTTACTTAATGTGTTATATAAGAAAATGACTATAACCGCATATAATAAAAAATCGAGTATTGTATTTGCACTTTCCTTCGTGTTTTAATGTGTATTATTTAACCAGACAAAAAAAATTATTCAATCTTACACTGACTGGCAATAGATCTAAATGTACTTTGGATTAAACAATTTAAGTACCATGTAAACTACATATTAATGATATTAAATATATTGTTATAGAATAAACTCAATATGTCAAACTCTGATCTGTAAAGCTGTTTGTTTAGGTTGTTTTTAAAACCTTTTTTAATATCTATAATATAAATAGTCATGTCAAAGTCGCTTTATCTTCACACACAAGAAAAGTAAACCAAATACTAAACCACTGCCCACTTTTATTACCATTGTGTGTGAAACTGAACCATCAGCGAGCCTTTTTGCCACGCTCCTCGTGTACTCACTATATGCACATAATTAAGGGGATTGTATGAATCTGCATCATGATAGTATGTCGATATGAGAGGGCTATATCCTCCCCACGCTACCATGCTGCCATATATCATCTCTGAATAGTCTGTCATGAACAATTATTTCATTTTAGCCTTGCTCGCTCTGCACCAGTCCTCCGTGGCATAACCATTTTAGATGAAGGGTTAAAATCAGCACCTCTATACATCTGTCCCAGGCTTATAAGGCTCTGTCACTCTGGATCAAATCCCATATTCCCTGCTTCTTCATCAATTATGAAGAGGAGCCAGGAAACTGTGTGGCGTTGCTGAAGGCTGTCAGGCTGCTGAACAACCACAGAACTGGAGGTGAAAAGTTGCTTGACATGACAAATCACCTTGACCCAAGGATCACCCCGGTATTTGCTGCTTTCAGCGACACAAATCTACTTTCCTCCACCACACAGTCTTAGAGTACATTCCAATCTGTTACTTGTCAGGTGTGAGCACAGGACTCGACACAAGGCGCTTTCTGTTCAATTTCATATCCATAAGTGACTTTATGTGCATTATGGTAGGGTGCCACACTACATTACAATATCTCCAAAATAAGGGTTTGAGGGAAACTTGCAGTTTCTGTTATTTTAGCAGATTTCTGGAGCATATGTTGGTCAAACACACATCACAGATGGACTGCTGGGAAAAAAACACACTTTGCTGTGTGTGTTGTCATTTTTAACCTGACAGAAAAACTAAACTATATAGTATTAACAGCAAAGTCTTATATTAAAAATAAAAGCATGCATAATGTAGAATGCATGTCTGCATGCATGTCTCCACTGTAGAGCTGTAAAAATGTGTTGATTAATTGATTGGATGAACAGAAAATGAATATGCAAGTATTTTGATAAATGATTGATTATTGACACAGTTTTAAATGAATTCTTCAGATATGATTTGCTCCTATTCTCATTTAAAATGTGTCCATTGGTATGTGGCTCTATTACAAGTAATATCTTGATGGGGCTGGTGGTTCCATTCATTAGCAACATTCAGTGCTTTCACTCATGCCACCCATTATCAACCTGAATTTAATGTGATGTCACAATAGACCTTTTCATATTTATATAAATGCATTTATATAAATGCACATACAATGAAAAAGTCCATCGATTGAACAGTTGTTGGGGAAATCAAAAGAAAGCCAAATATTTCTGAAATCATCAAAAGATAATCGATAGCTTAATTGATAATGAAACTGATAATGAAAGTGACTTAAAATATTTAATATTTAATTATTCCTATTACATTAATGTTCAAACATCGCGTGAGTTCACTTTCTGTCTTATTTCACAACCTTACTTAGGTGATGGAGTAAGTTGTAATGAAATGTTTACATCGGTTTTACATTTGAAATATTTTCAGTCCATGTTAAAAGTTAAGATGAAACAAAAATCACCGTTGACCTCATACATATGTTTTGAGTTTAAGTACGTGTGGAGTATAAATACTGTATATGAACATTTACATTTGTCATCAATCAAAAGATTTCTCCATGACAGAATAAGCTGTAAAAGTAAATTAATGCAAAAAGACTTCCGACTTGGGGGAGTTAAACTGAGAAAATACCTACTGGTTGATTAGTAGTATTATTAAAAATATTGTTCTGTCTCTGCCATGGGTCTTTAGTCTAATTAATATGTGAAGCGTTGCATATGTCCCCTGGTGAGTTGATCTAACTCAAATAAAGAAATTAGATGTGATATTCACAAATCCTGCAGTTTTCACATGAAAATGTTGCTTTCAACCATCTGTCTGTTCAGAACAGCACTGATGATGATGAGCCTACATACATTATCACTGCTAACAGACAGTTGTGTTTGCACTGAAGTCAGAACAGGAGAGATATCACCCCATAAAATGGGATTTAGCTCGATTTACACTGAACAGTTTCCTGGACGTCAATCCTGGATTAAGAGCAGAATCTCTCTGGATTACAGTTTATGATGACCATTAAGAGATTTATCCTCAGGGTACTTAAAACACAGTCCAACCACATTAAGACCTGCTCAGAGAAGATTGCAGGGATTTGGACCTTTTGAACGTTTTAAAGTTCAGGCATTTAGAGTACTTATCACTCACTGCGTATACTCATGGGGAGCCGGCCTAGTCCGTAGTGCACATTTAGTCATGATGATGGAAGGAAGTAGGGTATTTTGCACTGAGGGATTTGTTTTTCCTGATGGCTTATACTGTCATGTTGATCTCATTATACACTCATTTCCTACCATGAACTGTCAGATAATTTTACATTAAGCTCCAAGGCAGTTTTTAATCTTTACACAACATTTACCTTAGATTAATGTTCTGCCAGATTCCTGAGCCCCTGCTGACATGTGAGAAATACCAGCATCGCTTCAATGTGGTTTTCTCAGTTTGTCTTGGGTGTATTTTTTTTTTCTCATCTACTTTATGCAGTCGCTGCCATACATCAGTATAGCCTGCTCACTGTCACAGTAAAGGGCATTCGACAGTCAAGCTCAGACAAATGTGCCATTCTGACTCAGTATTTTACCAAAAAGTAAAGGGATGGAAACATGCAGCATAACCTGAGCGGAGCTTCCATTTCCTACAATATCATATCTCCTAGTAAACACTATGGGTTCTATAGAGTATAAAGATGGTTGAAGTGATTCCTACAATAAAAGCCATAGAAAACAACAAGCTTTGTTGATTATTTTCAATCATCATATCCTTTAGGTGAATAGCCTACATTCTCTAATGGTGTGTACAGCATTCAGTCAAATCAATCATCAAGTTTACTTCTGAGTGTGTATTTACCAAGCTGTGTTTCCCTGGTGAACTTCCCAAAAGTTACTAGTTAGTGGCTGTTTCTAGAGTCTCAGTCAAACATGGATTAATAT